ATAAAGAAGGCACTGCAAAGAAGCGGGGTCAATGTGGAGAAGCAAAATGTACAGATCAGGATGGCTATCAAGAGGTGTCTGGCGAAAGGCTCCCTGGTTCTGGTCAAGGGCCAGGGCGTCTCCGGCTCCTTCAAACTCCCAAAGAATCCAGTCAAGGCAAAAGTGGGAAAGAAGGCGAGGCCAGCAGCAGCCGCCAAGAAACCAGCCGTGAAGAAAACAACGGCCAAGAAGGTGACAGCGAAGAAATCCCCAGCCAAGAAAGCAACAGGCAAGAAAGCGGCCGTCAAGAAGGCAGCAACGCCGAAGAAAACGGTGAAGAAAGCAGCGCCTAAGAAAAAGACTCCCGTGAAGAAGGTGAAAAAGACCAAGAGCCCCAAGGCCGCAAAACCGGTCCCGAAATCGGGGAAACCGAAGGCCAAGCCCAAAGCGAAAGTGACCAAGAAAGCAGCAAAGAAATGAAGCAGTCTGTGCAACATGTAACCTTCTGAATCCAAAGGCTCTTCTCAGAGCCACCCACATCTCTCAGAAAAGAGCTGAGCTCGGATCAAATGATCCCTGTCCGAGCTCCGAGTGCAGGGATAAATTACATATTAATTTATGTGAATAACTCGTCCCCATTTCTCTAACGGATTTACACCCAGCCCCCCCAACACTCGTAACACTGGCCCTGAAACCCTGCTTCGCAACACAATTCCCAAGCAATGATTTGCTCTTTCAGCTGAAGAAACAGAAACTGACATTGAAATGGAAGCAACCGTGTTGACTTGTTAAGAAAGGCCGGGAAATGGTCATTTAATTGTATCACAAGTACTTTATAAAAATTCTGTTTTTATTATCTTTGACCATGAAGCTCGAGTCTGCAGCTTTTCTGCTGATCGTTGTGTTCACTGCTCTGATGGAGAAAAGGTTTAGTTCCAGATCCAGTTGGGGGCGGGAGTTAGCTGGAGGCGGAGCTGGATATTTCTCTGCTGCCACGTTGTTAACTATCCGGGCCGCCTCTCACACCATGTGAGCTCTTTCTCAGGCAGGTCGGGGCGGGCTGTATAAAAAAGGAAGGTGAGGCAGCTCGGCTCTCATTCGGCAGTGATTGGATTGAAGAAGCGTGATGTCTGGAAGAGGGAAAGGAGGCAAAGGCCTGGGAAAAGGCGGAGCGAAGCGGCACCGCAAAGTGCTCCGTGATAACATCCAGGGCATCACGAAACCAGCCATCCGGCGCCTGGCTCGCCGTGGTGGGGTCAAGCGCATCTCGGGCTTGATCTACGAGGAGACCCGCGGGGTGCTGAAGGTTTTCCTGGAGAATGTGATCAGGGATGCGGTCACCTACACTGAGCACGCCAAGCGCAAGACGGTCACTGCCATGGATGTGGTGTACGCTCTGAAACGCCAGGGCCGCACTCTCTATGGATTCGGCGGCTGAGCAAATCGACCCTTTTCCAGCGAACCCAAAGGCTCTTTTCAGAGCCACCCAATTCCTCCGATTGAGGCCGGAGACCTGAGGACGGGGAAAGGCAGCATATCGGGAGGGTGTATTGTACTGCAGCTCGTTAGCTTACATCGCGACTTGTAATTCTGCCCAGATGCGAAATGTTACATATTCCAGTATTTCTATTTCATTAACCCTTCCAGGAATGATATCTGATTCAGTTTTGATTCTGGGACGTCTGCAGATATTTTAATGGCATGTTCTTTCTATCTGGCTGCTAAACGTAGCAATGACAAATTGTTTTCGGACGAATTATAAACTGGGCCTAATAAAAATGTGCCGATAAATTGAGATTGCGTAACTTTATTAGTGTACACTATATTTGCTTTTATTATGTTTAAATCGGCGGGATTGTTTAGAGTCATTAACGGCGGTTACACGTTCGGTTGATCAGTTTGGGCTGTATTAAACCCCGCGCTTTTCTCCTGCCTGTTACAAACAGATCAGACAATAATCCCGTGTCCCGTCGCGCTGTGTGCAAGCTAGGTTTTTAAAAAAAAATCCTACAAAGTATTAGACTTTATCGTTGTCGGACTTTATTTTTCCTTTAAATATTTAACTTCATCTCAGGATTGCGAGGGTAAAATCGGCGGGCTATTTGAAATTGACCAACTGTCATTTCAAGTTAACCAATCAGCTTCCAACAATTATTTTATTACCTTTTCTGTAGCTCCAGGAGCTGTTTCTCAGTGGGTTGAGGGATGGGACTGTATCCAATGCCAGCTCGAAGGCAGGCTCTTCATTCCCTTAAATTGGCAGCACCGCAACAAACTCAGCATTGATAGCAGTAGCCTGCAAGTGTGTTGCATAGAGTTGAAGAGAATGGCCAGAACCAAGCAGACAGCGCGCAAATCCACCGGAGGGAAAGCTCCCCGCAAGCAGCTGGCGACCAAAGCGGCCCGCAAGAGCGCTCCGGCCACGGGCGGAGTGAAGAAACCTCATCGCTACAGGCCCGGCACGGTGGCTCTGCGGGAGATCCGCCGCTACCAGAAATCCACCGAGCTGCTAATCCGCAAACTGCCCTTCCAGCGCCTGGTGCGGGAGATCGCTCAGGACTTCAAGACCGACCTGCGGTTCCAGAGCTCGGCCGTGATGGCCCTGCAGGAGGCCAGCGAGGCTTACCTGGTGGGGCTGTTTGAGGACACTAACCTGTGTGCCATCCACGCTAAGCGAGTCACAATCATGCCCAAAGACATCCAGCTGGCCCGCCGGATCCGCGGGGAGCGCGCCTAAACGGAGCGTGCCCGGCCCTACACGTTCACCCCGAGAAACACAATGGCTCTTTTCAGAGCCACTAAAGTATCCAGAAAGAGCCGAACTGATCCGTGACGTGCGTTTCTTTGTTATATTTCTATGTCTTGTTGTTATTGCACCGCTTTAATTCACCTGTAACTGCAGGAATTGCATCTGACTAAGAAACCAGTGCGTAGGACTGATACGTTTGTATGACAGACATGGAAAGTGAAGAAGCGGCAGTGAAATTTGGAATTTACATTTCAAGTGATCACGGAACATAATTGAAGTACGGGCTCCCTGTGTGCAGGAGATTAGAAAGTCGTGGTAAAAGCTCTCTCTCCTCTTTGCCTCCCTTGGCATTTCCTCCACCTCTCCTTCCAGCCTCCTGTTTGTTTACCTTGGATTCCAGCGTGTGCAGTTTCTTTTTTCTGTAACTGTGACCATGGATGCGAAGGAGCGCAGGGAAAATGGCGCCAAATCATTGAAAGCTTTCATTCAAATTTGAAAATCCTATCAACATGTAGAAAGCAGGAGGCGGTTCTACGCAGAAGAATGCGAGTGTACTTACTAATTGATTTGATTTGAGATTACAAAATGTATAGTTCGCACAATTTGATTCCCTCATTCCACAAGGGGCTTCTCTCCGTCCCTCTCGCCACTATGTTGCTTTAAATCAATTTGTAGAATCTCTGCGGATTATCGTTACCGCTGTCTCATATCCCCTCTTTGCCCTCCTGATCGCCCTCTTCAGAATGCACTTACACTTTTTTATCCTGTCCAAGAGATTAATTTAAACCCCATTTTCTATACCTAGTATCCTTCTTGTTTCTATTTTCAGCTTTGAACCTCAACCTTATTCAACCATTGTTCATTAATCCTACTTGTGTAGATGCTTTTCGGAATTTTGGTTCAGATTCTCAGTCAAAAATGGTCTCTTCTTGCTGTGTTGGGATTCCATGGTGGGTGTACTGACAGGGACACCATTTTTTTCACTACTATTGTAAAGCCTCCCTCCCTTATTCCAGCAGGTCCACAACACCTTACTGCTGTAACTGCTGAAGATATTTCTTAAAAGTTGTTCAGTGAAAATGAATTGAAATTAGAAAAAGGAAATGAATGATCACCTTGGTGCGATTGTATTAATAGGCCCCACAATCGTCAGATGGAAGTTGAGGAACGGAAATGTAGAGAGACCTCAGACATATGTAAGGATAATAAGGTTGTAATAGGGGATTTCCATTTTCCAAACGTTGTGTGTGACTAAGATAGTGTTAGAGGTTTGGATCGTGAAGAAATTGCTAATTGTGCTCAATAAAATTTTCTTTAACATCTAAATATTCCTGGTGGAGACAGGGGAAAAAAAAAACAAACTTTTTTTTCCGTTAAAAACCGAAAGAAATGCGGATGCTGCAAACCAGGAGCCAAAACAAAGTTGCTGGAAAAGCTCAGCAGGTCTGGCAGCATCTGAAGGAGAAAACAGTTAACGTTTCGGGTCCGGTGAACTTTCCTCAGAACTGATGGTAGCTGGGCAAACTTCAGTTTATATGCAGAAAATAGGGAGGTGGGAAGGCTTGGGAGTAAATGATAGCATACAGCCCAAAGAGAGAGAAAGACAGTTGGACAGACAAAGGAGTTGCTAACGATCAGGCTGGGAGGGTGAATAGTTGTTAATGGGGACTGTTAGTGACCAACAACAACCTTTTCTTCAGTAATTGGTCAGGGCTAGTGATTGATGTGACAGTGAGGGAACACTTTGGGTCTATGATTGTAATTCTATTAGTTTTAAGCTAGTTATTGAATAAGGTAATCCTTCAATGAAAGTTCAAGTTTTTAATTGAAGTAAGGCAAATATTAATGGTATGAGACAAGTGCTTTCAAAAGTCATGTAATAGAAGCCCTGAAGTGTGGAAACAGGCCATTCAGCCCAACAAGTCCACACCACCCCCTGAAGAGCATCCCACCCAGGCCCATTCCTCTATCTAACCCACATATCCCAGCGGCACTATGGGCAATTTAGTATGGCAATCCACCTACCCTGCATGTTTTTGGACTGTGTGAGAAAACGTGCACACCCAGAGGAAACCCATGCTGACATGGGGAGAACGTGCCAACTCCACACAGACAGTCACCCGAGGCTGGAATCAAACCTGGGTCGCTGGTGCTGTGAG